GGAGAGAGAGAGAGAGAGAGACAGAGACAGAGACAGAGACAGAGAGACAGAGAGAAGAAAGCTTAATAAATTTAGTGGTCTCACCCAGTTGGACTTTGGTGAAATTGCTCTTTGTTCTGTCATTCTTGCTAATTTTGGATGAACAGATGTTTACATGTCCACAGGAAAAGATTACCCAACAGTGTACAATGTTTACTTACTTTAAGGAATTTTATACATTGTGCTTATTTCTGGCCTTTCTGATTTCAAATCCACAAGCATTTGACTTGCTTTTCTCAGTGATAACAATATTTTTCTTTCAACCTTTTAGATTGTAGTTTTCAAAAAGTTTGGTAATGGTATGCCTTGAAGTGAATTTCCTTGGCTTTATTTGCTTCAGCCTTGATAAATTGCAAATCTTTACAGGATGGCTGTTGTCTAATTTGAGAATCTTTCAGCCATAGTTACTTCAAGTACTTTTTCAGAAACGCCCTCTCACTCCTGTCCTTCCACGATTCTAGTGGCACCAAAGCCAGCTTGGGCTTTAGTCCTACAGGCTCCCGACATCTTCTGCTCCCCAGTATCGCCATTTCTTGTTTGTTCATCTTGGATGACTCTCATCATTTTCTACCTTGCTGTTTGCTTGCGTGCTTGTCTTCTTTGAGATGGATTGAATAATTGCATCTTTCATTTCATTTGTTATCTCTTCAGTCACTGGTATAATGAAGAATTTTCCATTGAAACCTGGTCCTTTTCGGAATTGCTGCAATATTCTGAATCTTATTTTTGAGACTGTTCCATCAGGGAAATCACATTTCATATTATCAGGTGGAAGTAAAATTTTATATGTCACACTCATCATGTGTTGGTATCCTCTCCATTGCCAGAGGGAGATGGAGTCTTCTGCTCTTTGTGAGGTCTCCAGAGACTCTGGAGAGCTAGCCTCGCTGGCTATGGACAATGGCAAAAGACTCAGCTTTCCACCTGCCTCCTCTGATGCCTGCCTATGGTCAGGGGAGCATCTTGGTGAGTTAAAGGAAGTGTCAACATTGCTTCCAGTGAAGTCACTATAGAATCTTTGTGGCCTTAGAGGCTCATTGCCCTCATTGGGAATGGAGGTACCCAGTCAGCCTTCTTGGATACTATCAGGGGAGGAACTGGAGAGACTGCAACATGGCCTTAGATAGAGCAACATTTCATGGAAGGAATTTCTCTATTTTGGCTGCAGTTCTTGGTCTTCTGTCTACAGACAAACACTGTCCTTCTTTCCACCCATTAGAATTTCTATGCAGCTCACTTTTTCTCAGCTTCCACTTTGGGATATGCAAATCAAAAGGGAAATCCAGAAGTACAATGCTGTGTTGCTCTTTTAACCCCCATTTCCTCCACCATTCTGGCTCCCCCCTCTTCTACTTTTCAGATTTGTTGTGTGTGTGTGTGTGTGTGTGTGTGTGTGTGTGTGTGTGTGTCTGTGTGTCTGTGTGTATTACATATAATGTCAATGCTTTCAGTCATACTCAGTGAAAGAGATAGGGGAAAGTAGATCTACTCCACATCCTGGGAAGCAGCAGTCTAGCTCCGTCTTTGTATTCACCAGAAAAGGTTAAACAATGCCCTGGTATGTTCTATTACAAAGCGAAGAACCATCGGGAATAGAATCTAAGAGCTCTTTATAGAGCTATCTAAAGTCCACAAATACCGTTTGGAATTCCCTTGTGTATGAAAACTGCATTGAGTATTGCTTCTGTGTCAGTACATAGAAACAGCTGTCTGTGCCCCAAAACAGAAGTGTTGTTGCTCTATGCGTGATGGCCCAGTGTGCATTCTCATTCCTCAGACTGAGACAAGTTCTACCCACATATTGGACATTTTTGTTCCGGTTTGAGACTCATTTTGCATTCTGCAAGGGTTTCTTGGTTCATGGGAACTGAAGATTATAATAAAACTGCTTGCATAAAATTACTCATGACTCAGTGTGTTACTGTGCTGATGATACCTGTACTTTAAAAGAGGGACACCATGAAAAGGGGAATGTTCAGTCCAAGAATGGGCTTCATGGAGTGTGTTTTTGAGCACCAGTGTCTGATATCTTTTGAGAAGGGAGAAAAATCTATCAGAATTGTAAAAATCTTAAGAGGTTGGTAATTATGTTAGCTCACATGTACGACTAGTGCCGTGTGGTGATCTACATTTCCCCCCTAAAGACAGGGCTGTTTAAAATCTATACATTTGTATGGATTCATGAGACCTTTCTGGCTGGAAAGTCTACCAGTGGTACTATGAACACATTATACTCTGTTGGTCAACATATTCCAGCCTCGAACTTAAAAGAAGGAGAAGAGGGATTGCATATGCAGCAGACCATAAGGACCTTGGCAATTCTGAAAGGATCACTTCCATCCATCAAGGCTGAGGAACACAATTAAGAAGGTAGTTCTCAGTTCAGTGTGACCTCATTCAAATCCTTGCTCTGTATTTTACCAGTGATATCATCTTCCTAGACTGTAGCTTTCCCACGTGTAAAATAGACATAATAAGATCACCTACGTCATGTGAGATAATTCATGTAAATCACTCAGCATAGTGTCAGGTATCTGATAATGCCTCAGCACTGGGCATTAAGAGTTGAACATCTTGGAATTCCTGTGTCACAGCTCTCCTCTAACAAGCAGAGATGTCTTGCTCAGGAGACAGGAGATAAGCCTTCTTGAAAAACATTCTGCAGGAATGAGAAGCCAGTGATCCAGCCAGAAGACCAAGTCTGCCTGAGTGCACATCTCTCTCACCTCTCCACTTTCCTGAAGGTTGTGTAAAAATTTGCTCATTCTTTATGCTTTTGAAAAGTCTGGACTACCACAGACAGTGCACCTTCTTTCTCTCTCCTAATGATATCATTATTGTTTCAAATCATTATGAAATGAGAGGTGTGGTGTGAAGCCTAAATTAAAAGCTATGGGGGGGTGGGGGGGTGGGGTGGGGGTGGGGTGAGGGAAAGAATAGTCTAGTTAGTGGAAAGGGTGCCAACCTGGCAAGACTTTTCCTTGAGCTAATAATTTTTGTAATCAAGAGCAAGCTTCCAAAATGGTAGTTATGTTTAGAAATAATTCCAGTTTATTGCTTTAGTCACACCCTGTACTTACAGGAAAAGATGTTCCTGCATCTTAATGTTTCTCTTGCCTAATTGATATCAGATAAAATTAGTCATTGCCTCAGCAAACTGGATTAATATGTATCCCAAAGGTAGTAACATGCTGTTCCATTCAAATCTGGAATTGTAATAAAAGCAAAAAAAAAAAAAGCTTTCTGAACACATGCAGGCAGGCACCCATATGTCTATAAGAAGGACAGCACTTGAGTTAAGAGTTTTGAGGTGTAGTTGTGGTGAGGCCCATATATAAGCCTGTGATCTCCATTGGTAGGCTCAAGCTTCTCAAGGATTAGTTGTCCAGCACCTCCATAAATGTGCATTGTGTGACTGGCCTCAGGTATCAGAACTCTGTACCACATAGAGTAATTAGAAGATAGCAAGTGTTTACAGGATAGAGTCCAATGAAGTGGGTTAAATGGAAGAGATACAGTGTTCTTTTTCTGGCCAGAAGAGTGAGGGAAGGAATAAGCATTATTTGAGAGCTGATTATCAGGGTTCTCAAGGACCATTTCAGGTTGGCATGGAAATATGTGATGGCAGGGAATAAGTGCTCAGAAGGAAGGGGTTCATGTTTACCATCAACAAAGCCGGATCATATCCTTGGATCCTTAGAGAATGGTCACAACTCCAGCAAAGTGATTGTATTACCATACTTGGGAGAAAGGTAAGGTACAGAAGACTCTGGGAGGGTGGAGCAGGCCTTCCCTGAACAGTCAATGTATGATCAACACAATTCTTATTCCATCTTCTAACATCCTCCTGAAGTGCACTGATGTCATGTTAGCATTCGTTTTAGTTAGTTACTATTGCTAGGATGTAGTTGGAGTTTTCCTGTGTCCACCCAGCTCCTGCAGCTGCTCAGACACAAGTAAACACACAGACTTATATTACTTATAAATTGTATGGCCATGGCAGGCTTCTTGCTATCTAGTTCTTATATCTTAAATTAACCCATTTCTATAAATCTATACCTTGTCATATGGCTCATGGCTTACTAGTATCTTTATATCTTACTTCTCATGGCACCAGTGGCTGGTAGCATCTCCTGGCTCAGCTTACCACTTCCTGGAATTCTCCTCTCTGCTTATCCCACCTATGCTATACTTCCTGCCTGGCTGCTGGCCAATCAGCATTTTATTTATCAATCAATCAGAGCAACACATTCACAGCATACAGAAAGACATCCCCAGCACTGGGATGAAACACTATGATCAAAAGCAAATTGAGGAGGAAGGGTTTATTTGGCTTACACTTCCACATCACAGGTCATCCTCAAAGTAAGTCAGGACAGGTACTTGAACAGGGCAGCAACCTGGAGGCAGGAGCTGATGCAAAAGCTATGGAGGAGTGCTGTTTACTGGTTTGCTCTTCATTCAGCTTGCTTTTTTATAGAACCCGGGACCACCAGCTGAGGGACAGCACCACTCACAATGGGCTGAGCCCTCTCCCACTAATCACTAATTAAGAAAATTCTTTACAGGCTTGTCTACAAGCTAATCTTAGAGGGAATTTTCTTAATTGAGGTTCCCTCATCACAGATGATTTTAGCTTATGTCAAGTTGACATAAAACTGTCCAGCATAATGGCCCCTCATCAGTTTGACACACAAACATATCAAAGCTAAGCCACAGCCTTTCCTTTCTCATTCATGCCCAATATCTCACATTAAAATCTTAAATGATTTTAGAAATCCCACAGTCTTTAAAAGTTCAAACACATTGAAAGCTGTCTCTTTAAAAATATCCAGTCTTTTTTTTTTTTAAAATCCAAATTCTCTGTAACACTGCAAAATCTCTCTTTCTCTTTTTTTAAAGTTTAAGGTCTCTCAACTGTGGGCTCTTTTAAAATATAAATAAATTAATTACATTCTTACTTCAAGAAGGAAGAACCAGGGCGCAGTCACAATCAGATCAAAGCAAAATTAAACCTTCAACAGTGTAAATAGCACAATGTCCAGTGTCTGGGATCCACTCATGATCTTCTGGGCTCCTCCAAAGGGACTTAGGTCACTTCTCCAGCTCTGACCTCTGCATAACACACAATTTGTCTTTTAAGCTCTGACAAGCTCCCCTACACTGCTGATGCTGTTCTTGGTGGTCATCCCATGGCACTGGCATCTCCAAAATGTAGGGGTCTGCCACCATAATTGGGCTGCACTTTCACCAATAGCCTCTGATAGGCTTTCTTCATGGTGCCAAGTCTAAACTTCTCTGTATGACCCCTTCTTCGATCCTGGGCCTTCAACTGCTACTGAGGCTGAACTTTCACAGTGGCATCTCTTGGCCTCTTACAGTGCCAAACCTCAGTTGCTCTCCATGACCCTTTCATGCCTTCAAAACCGGGACCACCTGGCTGACTTCTGTACTACCAAGTTCCACTGTCAGCGTGAGGTATAACCTTGGCCACTTCTGGAACCCAGCTTTTGTGTGCTGACTCTCTAGAAATACATCCCAGCAAATTTTATCTCAGTGATGCTGGTCTCTTCTTAGTCACTGCTAATTTCTCAGCTCCAGCTGACCAGCATCCATTGTCTCAGTAAGACAAAGGTTTTACTTCAGTGGTTCTGGTCTCTTGTTAAACGCAGCTGCTTCTTCAGCTCCAGCTGATTAGACACCACAGATATGTCACACAAAAGGGCCAGTAGAATCTTTGCTTCCCTCTGGAATGTTACAGCCCAGCTTCCATTGTCTGTACTTCTCTCAACACTCCATGGCTTTTCTAGCCCAAAGTTCCAAATTCCTTCCACAATCCTCCCAGAAACAACATGGTCAGGTCTGTCACAGCAGTGTGCCACTCCTCGTACCAGCTTGTCTTAGTTAGGGTTACTATTGTTGTGATGAAACACCAAAAAAAAAAAAAAGAAGAAAAATAAGGCAAGTTGAGGAGGAAAGTTTTATTGGCTTGCATATCACTTATATGTCAGTGTTCATCACTGAGCACAGGACAGGAACTCAAACAGGACAGGAACCTAGAGACAAGAGCTAATGCAGAAGCCATGGAGGAGTGCTGATTTCTGGCTTGCTCAATTTGCTTTCTTATAGAACCTAGGACCACCAGCCTAGGGATGGTACCACCCACAATGGGCTGGGCACTTCACCATCAATCACTGAGAAAATGTCTTACAGGCTTGCCTACAGCCCAATCTTAGGGAGACATTTTCTTAATTGAAGCTTCCTCCTTATAAAGGACTTTATCTCACGCCAAATTGACATAAAACTATCCAAAACAGCATCTTTGGCCCAATGTTTTAGTCAATACTTTAAATGATAATATTATTTTCTTTCTTTCCTACATATTTCTATGCAGCCAACGTTGGCACATACAGAACACCATCCTCATACTACTCCATGGATAAACATCCATGAAGAATGTTTCCTTCCCGTTTGCACCCATACAGATACTGTTATCAAGATAGACAGTTATGTAAGTGTAAACTCCATGGCTGTATTCACATCTTTTGGAAAGTCTACTTACAGCCCTATGCATTTGTTCTAGCCTTTCCCATGGACGTCAGCATTTAAATGCTTGGGCATTTATTATATGTTGATACTATGGGGCTCAGAAGGATACCTTAACTAAGATCCCAGAGCTGAAAGCTCATTGTTGTCAGAAGTACTTCGTGGACATGGGGAGCTCTCTTGGTTTGGCCCTTCACTGAAAATCTTTGTGGTCTGTGCAGGGCAGAGGGAAGCTAGGTTCTGTGATTCTGGTCTGAGGAGCCTGAAGTATTATTCCCATTTCCCTTCTCTTAGAATTGCTTCTGAAGCCAAGGTCTGCCCATTTGGGACAGGTTCCTTTTGTGTTTGTTCTCCTTCTATCAGACATTCTCTACCATCTCCATGTCACCAAGACCATATTTTATTCTTTCTCTTCCTAGTCCCTAAGACAGATCTAGACCTACCATGTCTTCAGCAAAATTTTCAGATGAACTAATCAGTAAGTGAAAGAAGGAATGACATAAAACTCATAAATATATATATATATTATATAAACTTTATATACTTTATACATTTAATGTATTTTATACATTATAATACTTATAATGATAATATAAATAATCATTACCAGACTCTGCTTTGGCTCATCTAGGGATGGGTTCTCATTAGTTTCCTAAAGTAACCCCTTGATTGTAGAATTATTAGAGTATTCTTTACTTTGGAAGGAAACTCAGTCACCCTATAGTTTTAAATTATACCATTTTCTTCCTTGTTTACCTTCATTAAGTAATAAAGCCATGGGCACCTCTCATACATTCATAGATACCAAGTCCTCAGACCCAACTCATCTTTATTTTATTTTATTTTTATAGGTTAAACATTAATTTTTCCATACAGAATGGGTTCCAAACCCCTTCTCATTCCCAGCTCCCCTCTCTGATTGCATTCTGTGCTTATAAGATGGCCCCCAGTCTGGCATATGGTTTTGTGGTATGGTTGTACCAATTGATATTACTCTCGCAGTTTGTCTGCCTCCCTTTTGGATTTCCAAAGTGCCCAGAAAACTCAGCTTAACTCCACCTAAATTGAGTGAATTTTCTTCCTTCTTTGATTATGATTCCCCCTTGAACTACTTCCTACTTCTTCTGCTGTCAAAAACGAGTTAGAAAGGAATGTGAGCACACCTTTCCCTGTCACCTGTGTAGACATGTTCAAGAGGCTTTCAGAAGTAGCCAGCTGCTCCTTGCGGCCTCTCCCAGATTGCTATCCTGTTAAACTTCTCTGCTATTTCCTAAACAGAAATTCCCTAACCTGCAAAGTATTCCATTACAATAGCACTATCTATGAAAGGGTGAGGGATAAAGAAAGACCCAACCTTTATTCCACCCATTCTAGATCTAATATTGTCCTGACCCTGAGAATGGGATAGAAAGAAGAAAATATGAGCATTTTTAACTCGTTTTGAGCTATTTCCTCACTTTTTAATTCATTGATCCATATGGTGCCATTCATTCCTGGTGTGGGTGGAGGTACACACTCTATAGAGTGGAATAGAGACCATGGCTGGCTTTCTCCTTGGCATTCCATGTCCATGAGCATAGTCTAACTAACCCCGTTTACTGCTTCCCCTACCATCTTGGACAGTGTAGATAGTTACTGAGCTTGTGGTCACGCCAAACCTCCCCAAATTACCATTTGAGGCACAAATTCAATTTATTGTCTTTATTGGTTAGTACAATAAATTATCAATTAAAAAATTTAACATTACAGTTTTGACTTTTGCAATAATTTGGATCTAATTTGTAAATCAAGCTTTAATTTCAAGCTTTGGCATGGGTTATTATAAATGCATTTGATTAAAAAAGAAAAAAAAATCCTCCAACCTGTTTTATTGTTATTTTGTTATTTTATATGCTGTTAAGAACTACTCATTTTGCAATAATGCTCTCTTTGAGTGCAAAAACTTTTTTTCTTTCTTTCTTTTTTTAAATAGGCTCTCTCTGTGTAGCCCTGGCTCTCCTGGAATTTACTATGTATACCATATAGATCTACCTGTCTCTGCCTCCTACGTACTAGAATTAAAGTGTTGCACTACCACAACCAGCCTAAAATGCTATTAAACAAAAATAACAAACAACAACAACTTTATATACACCCAAACACTAAAACAAGGTCGGTCTATAACTAAAACTAATGACCATAAATCAATGACTAACATTAAATGTACCCTTACACAAATGCTACACCAAGTCATAAGGCTAACCCTAGCTCTGATCCAACCTAACCTACTTGTAATCCTAACACTGTACCACCAGTTCTAACCCTAACCCTAAACCTAACTTTAATACTAACCCCAAGACTAACAGTAATTTTAATGACAACATAGTCCTAACCTTAACACTGAGGCTAACTCTAAGATTAACCTAAGAAACAATACCAGTATTGTTCCTAGCCATACCCTTAACCCTAACATTAAGTATAACCACAACCTTATCAATAACTCAAACATTAATCTTGGAAATAAACCTAAAATTGTTCCAGGCCCTAACACAATAACTCTAATCAGACCCTAGTCCAAACTCTAAATCTTACTTTATATGTAGCTGAAACATTAAAACTAGGTTAAAAAAACTAACACAAAATTATTACTAACACTAACTGTTGTATCTCTCCTACCAAAGTCTAGCCCTATCCCCAGTCCTAATTTCTAACCCTAACCACAACCCTAATCCTAAACTTAATTCTCACTTAACTCTATTTTTAAGTTTGGATATAACCACATTCCTGACTCTAGCTCTAACCTTACCCTAATTCTACAACAAACCACACCTACAATCCTAGTGTCAATACTAGTCTTAATCCTGGCGCACATACATACACACATACAAGCGCACAGTGTGGTCTATGGAGACAGTGTGGTTGCTCGTTTCCTTGGTTGCAGAATTTGATACGTATCTTATGGTTAACAAGCTTGGTCAGTAGTGCTTTTGTTTTCTCAGTTGTTTGCTCATCTGAACTGTCTGTCTGTCAAAGTGCCGGCTTCTGTACTTCAATAGTATAGTTCTGTTGATTTCGCTTTGAATTTTTAGTAGTTTTTTTCTCACATGCATGTATCTATTTTGGTCACTTTAAAAACTGATTCTTTGGGAATTTCACACTATGCACACCAATTCCACTCTTCTCCCAGTCCCTCCATATCTACCCCTCACTCTTGTAGTGCCCCCCAAAAGAAAAGCTAAAAAGCATAAAAATAAGATAAAAATAAACAATAATATATATATTTTTTAAAGGAAGGAAAAGCACTTCTTGCCTCTGTATTTCCTGCCTCTCCATTGTATCTTCATTCATCTTAGTGGCCTTGGGAGCTACTGTGTCATGCAGTATATCCTTTTGTCCAAAAAACATTACTTGCAAATGTTCATTGTCTAATGAGTTATTGGTCAGGTTCAAGGCCTTTGGCTTTGCACATCATCAAAACTGGACACCCCCCCCCCCGCCCCCCCATTCCTCTTGGGGCATGCTGTTGTCCAGAGTTGTGGAGATTCTGAGGCTATGGTTCCACAGGATCAGTCCTTTCAAACACCCCAGCAGATTGTAGATGGTGTAGATAGATGTTGGGGTGTGCCAACTCCAAGCCCTGGATGTGTGCCTGGGTGGCAGCTGAGTTGGAATATCTAGGCCACTGGGACCATTACTCCTCACAGATGAGGGGCAAAGCTAGCTCTCCAGGCCCATGGTAAGCAGGGGGCCAAGCTT